GAAAATTTAAAGCAATAATTTTATAATAAAAATTTTAAAATAAAAACTTTAAACCTTTATTACTCTTAAGTTTTTTTATACATATTTCAAAATATATTTTTCACTTAGAAAGTATATAGTTAAACTTAATATTTAGAATTTTATTTTAAAAATTTTATTTTTAAAAAAATTTCAGAGCAAATTTGTAGGAGAAACGGTTTAAGGGATAAGTATGAAGAAATTATATATCCTTTATTTGGACCCTTTGGATATCTCATTAAGGAAATAAGATGATTCGCCAATGATGCTTCTTTATCAGATAATCTTTGAATTGTTAATATTAACTGAATTTTTTGTGAACTTTCTTTAATCAATGACATTTCACTAGGTGACGTCTCTTCGTTGGCTGATGCCACTTCATTGGTTGATGCCACTTCATTGATTGCTTCGTTGGTTGATGATAATTCTTTTTTTTTGTCGTTTTTTTTAGGCAGGCATTTTTTAATTGAAATCGACGTTTATATGAAATCCCCATTTTTTTTTAATACACAAAGTTCTAGCGATAATTATTTAGATGCAGAGCCTTTACATTTAAAAATTAGAAACCCAAATTTTGGATGAATCAATAGAAGATCTCTACAAAGCATGTTACAGAGCCAAACTTTATATTTAATTTAAAAAAAATTTACCGGCAGCTTAAATTTCATCCAGATTTATTCATCTAAAAAAGTTACGCAATTTTTACATATTTATTATATATAGATATTTCACTGATTGTCATACTGATCAAAAAATTCCGGTAAAGTTAAATATAATTTTGATCTACTTAGTTGACAGGCCACCCCAACGATTCGGCTATATCAGGATTAAAAAGCTACGTTATTTGCCCTATATGTCTTATTTCGATAGTGATGCGGTGCAAGAAAAAAACAACTCTAATTATCCGCCAACAAATATTTTCTAAATACTGTATATTGATATAAGGATATCGTATGTCCATCTGTAGGTTCCTATGTTTGAAATTTGATGTTCTCGGTATTTTCTAAGCACAATCTTTGAGAACTATGTACTATCGTACTGCCATATTACTTCCATATCAAAATTTGTCATTACCGTACAGATTCTTTTTTTATTTTATTTTGTTCCAAAATCAATAATACTGTTTATATCATTCTAGCCATATTATTTATTTGAGATGTTCAAATACATATGATAGTAATAACTTCTAGATTATAATAAAATTATTGTATGGGAACAAAAAATCGATCAAATAACTTAGATTTAATTTTGTCGTTATTACGGCCCAAAAACATATAACAATATGAAAATTATCATTTTCCTCTCATTTAAAAAGGAAAATGTGGCGGTTCATGAGCATACTTTTGAGTAGAATCGTCCCAATGATTGCCTTAGAGTTAATACTTGGATCCGGATTTAATTAAATCCGGATTTAATTGTTAAATCCGGATTTATTGTTAAATCCGGATTTAATTGTTAAATCCGGATTTATTGTTAAATCCTGATTTAATTGTTAAATCCGGATTTATTGTTAAATCTGTAAGATCTGGATTTAAATATACCTCTGTCCACTCGGAATCTGTTTCACGGCTTAAGCCGCAACATCATTGAGACGATTCGCCTGCACGTATACTTTTATGCTAATCAAGCGCATGAATAAACATCCAACTAGTACATATCAGTTGACATTGGGCTATCATGTTTCAAACAATGAAAACTAAATTATAGATACGAATTTGCTATAATTAACAGTTATTTAAAGATAACATGCTTCATTTAACAAATATAAATAAAGTAAACTTTTTAATGTATTTTTTTTTTTTTAATAAAATTATATTGTTCTTACATTAGGTGGGAAGTCAAAAGTTCTTATCATTACAGGACTTACAATTTTACTTGAATATGGCCAACGTTGTATACGATCGTAAAGCTTTGCTCAGAACAGTATCTACTTTTCCTTTAATTGACAATCATTGTCATAATCTTTTAACGTCTGATGCATCATTGATTTGTCCATTGGAAGTATGCTTTTCAAAGGCTCGTGGTGATGCGCTAAAAGATGCGTCTCAAACTAGTGCCTTGAAACGAGGCGTACGCCAGCTTGCTGAAGTTTATAATTGTACACCAACTTTAGATAATATCAAACAAGTGAGAGATCTAATGTCACATATTGATATATGCAAAACTTGCTTTAAACCTACTGGCATCCAGTCCTTGCTTTTGGATGATGGACTTGATGCGTTAAGTGGTCTTATGGACATGCAAAATCATGTAGGATTGGTTGACGTAGCGCGAAGAATCGTGAGAATCGAAAGTATTGCGGAGAAGATCTTGTATGACTTGGCAACATCTGTAGCTTGTACAGATCAAAAAACGCCGAATTTTGCTGCATTTGAAGAACCATTGAAAAAGCAACTTGAAACCTATGCAAAATCTGAATCAGTGGTGGCCTTCAAAAGTATTGCTGCTTATAGGTCAGGATTGAATATCGATTATATACCAAATGCTGAAGCTGCTGCAGTTGCTTTGGGAAACTTAATTACATATTTTGAATCATTACCTGATAAGAAGGGATCTGTTATACTTGCTAATAAAGTTCTAATTGATTATATATTGAACTTGGCAATTGATATCGCAGTTCAGCACGATATTCCTATCCAATTTAATACAGGCACGCTATATAAATATTGTTTTTTGCTTTTCAAACTGAATCTTATCGATTATTAAAAACACATGATCTCTCAATAACTTAGGATTTGGTGATTCTGATCTTAATCTGACTGCATCTGACCCACTTTTGTTACAGTAAGAATATTTTTATGTCATATACTTGTTCGAACGTTTTCAAACCAAACAACTGTATCTTTACGATTACTATTTGTACCCCTTCCATTAAGACCTTTGATTGAAAAATATCCCAATGCAAAATTTGTTCTTCTACACTCAGCGTATCCTTATTCCCGTCAGGCGGGATATCTTGCTTCAGTATATTCCAATGTGTATGTTGACACAGGTCTTGTTTTTCCTTTGATTTCCGCATCCGGTCAACAGGCTATTTTACGTGAGCTGGTAATTTATGTTTATTTCTTATATGATATTGAAATATTTTATAAACTTATATTAAAACAAATGGGTTTGTTTTTTGGATAGTTGGAAATTTGTCCAAGTAATAAAATATTATTTAGTACAGGTACTATTAAAGTCGTCGTCTTTTAATAAGTTAACTCTCTTTATAATGAGTTGCTTTTATTATAGGAAAAAAATTATAGAGTAATTTACTATATAAAAAAAAGATCCTTAAGCCTATAATTGAATGTATATACTTATTATAATTTTATAAAAACATAATGCTGTAAAACTAGATGGGCATTACCTTCCAGAATCTTTCTATGTAGCTGCAATTCAAGGAAGAGAGGCTTTAAGAAAGGTAATATAAATTATTGTGATAATATAATTACTTAAGGCTAACATTACCTTTCTTTTAAACAATGGTTATTTCTAAGGTTTTATTAGAGTCTGTAGAAAATGGTGAATTTTCATATGAAGAAGCAATAAAAATCGCCAAACAAATTATGTTCGAGAATTCCAATACACTATATAAACTCAAATTAACTCCAAAACAGATCATTAAAGAAGGTATTCAGAAGAGAAAATAACTATTATTACTTTCTTTTGCATTTTAATTTACATTAAAATTTTTATCATTATTTAAAGAATATAAAGACGTTTCAGGAGAACAAAAAGTCATTAAATTAAAAAAAATGGGTGTAAAGTCTGTTCGTATCGGCTTTATGGAATGTTCTAGTCAATATAGATATCATATCGTTCCCATTGATCGTTTCGAAAACTATATCGCTGATAGTGGGCTGACAATTGCTCGAGTTCTCACAGCTTTGCCTTATTATGGAGATGTGGTTCCAGACAATGCTGGTGTCAACGCAACTGGAGAAGTATTGTTGAAACCTGACCTTAGTACACTCACACATTTACCTTATATTCCTAAACATGCAAATGTCCAAACTTTTTTTGAAAACAAATTTACACCGATAGACCCTCAATTTGGGAAGATTGATAATTCACCTAATTCTTTGGCTTTCCCTCTTTGCCCTAGAACTTGTCTTAAAAATATTACTGATTCTGCTCGTAAAGATCTTGGTATCACTTTTTTGATTGGAACCGAATTTGAATTCGTCTTACTTAAAGACACTACACCTCCGGTGCCTGTTGATGATACCACTTATGCTTCAGCTAATTCTTTTCGTATTTCTAATTCTGCTGAAATTTTGGATAAGATCGTTGAGTCTTTACAAGAACAAGAGATTGAAGTTGAACGATATCATTCTGAAGGCGGAGGAGGACAATTTGAAATAGACACTGCACCAGAAATTCCATTAATTGCTGCAGATAAAGTTGTAGTGACACGTCAAACGATATATGATGTTGCTGCTCAGGCTGGTGTAAAAGCAACATTTGTGCCTAAACTCTTTAAAGAACAAGGTTTATTTTTACTTTTTATTCTTAATCTATAAGTTTATATATTTTTAAAATTCTTTTACATTAGTATTTCGTAAACTTTTTTTATAAACATTAATAAAGTGGGAACTGGTGCACATGTGCATATATCTTTCAAAGAAATCGACAAGTCCCAGAAAATTGTTGACGATCACCCTTCAAGACTATCTCCATATGAAAGGTCATTCATTGCCGGGGTGCTTCATCATATCAAGGCAATTTGTGCTTTTGCATTGCCGACAGACCTTTCCTATACGCGCACTGTTGATAATTATTGGGCCGGATCTTGGATCTGTTGGAGTGTTGAGAATCGGTTAGTATTCGTTTATGCAGAATAGCGCTTCATATTGTATAATTATTCTATTTCCTTCAAAATTAATATTGATTCATTACAGTGAAACACCAATCAGAGTGTGTTATAGACCAAAGAATGGACCTAATGGAAGATATCTTGATGTTCATTTCGAACACAAATTTGTAGATGGTACTTCAAATCCGTACCTGGTCTTCTCCGCCCTTATTGCTTCAGGAGTTGATGGAATCAAAAAAGGAATGCAGCTTACCACTAACCCCATACTCGGTAAGTTCATTATATAATTAAAGTATTTACATATAGTTAGTTATATAACTAATACGAAGCTTTTCTGTAACATTCAATAATAGATAATCCTGCTTCTCTAAGCAATGAAGAACGTATGAAAAAAGGTGTTACTGAGAGAATGCCTGCAAGTCTTTCGGATACATTGAAAGCATTGAAAGAGGACAAAACACTTATCGATGCTTTAGGTGAGCCCATTATACGATGCTATACCGCAGTAAAGGAGGTAACGTATATGATAAATACTCTGACTAGTATTACGGGTGAACCTCTTATCAAAATTCGAAATAAAAATTCGAAATTAGCTTCACCCGAAATTAACTCTGAAAAAATTATTGATTTATTCTTAAATCCTTCGATGAATTATTAGGATGAACATAAATATTATAAATCATTGAGCTATGACAAACAGCTCGAAATATTGCTCAAGCGGTTTTAATTTTAGTTCAGTTACTCATTTTGCATAAAATAAATGTTTTAAAAAGCCTTAGTAATGTTAATATATGTGTCACTAAGAAATAAGGTGCTGGGCTAAAACCAGGAAAAGGAAAAGTTCTGATAAATTGTTTATATACTGACTATCTTATATCATGTATAGTTATCATTGTAAATAATGATACTTTATTATAAATAAAGGTCATGAAGGTCGTTAGTAGTAACGATAATTTCATCACAATATCACAATTTAGATAAGTTTACAGTAAATCACCCTTTAAGAGTTATATATTTGACTCGTACAGAGACCGTAGACCAATATACACTGCGACTATTAATTTGGTAAATACGTTCCCTGATTCATTGCTAAGTAGTATATTGGTGAAGCATTATCCGCGTATTCAACGACCCTAGCGTTGCCTGTAAAAAATAGTAGCCAGATAGATCTGCCAGTTACCTGTAATTTCGGGCCTTATGAGGCATTATTTTGATTACAAACCATTTATTTATTTATTTATTTTTGATGGTTTAAAATTTTAATACATGATAAAGATTTAAAATATTTTATAACAAATAAAAAAAATAAAAAATAAAAACTACATTGTAAATATTGATTATTTTTAATAAAATGAAAACTTTATAATCGTATATTTTTAAGAAAAATATATCTTGCCAATTTTTCACTTCATAAACTACATACAGTATACAGCAACTTTCCTATAACGAGCTGTTGATTTTGGCTATATAAAAAGTTCATTATATAAAATTATATACTACTGTATTGCATGTTTTCTTAAGAAACCATAAAAAATATAAGGCCTTAATTTTTCGTTTTGCGTAACCCGCCGACCCAATTTTTCAAAAAAAATTTTTTTTTTTTAAGTTCCAATTCCCCCAATTATTCCATTTTTGCTATTTAATTTTTTCCATAAATTTATCCGGTATCACCCGATAATGAACTTGATCTTCCGCAATAACCCGACGGGTCTGTTTAAAAAAAAAATTTCTGATTCCACGTTATGCAAATCAAAAAATTAACTTGCGTGGCCTTAAATATGAGCGTGAATCTATTAATTTATAGCTGAAATTTTTTTTACAGCTATTATCATAATTCCTGGGACACCTGTAAAAATTTGCCGAATGATTTTTCGGCCGATCCGGTTA